TCCAGCTCTCTGATGCATAGCAAGTGATTGCAAAGGCTTGTATCAGGCACACCTTAGTCTCTAGAATGACATCTTTGCACTTCAGCACTTTAGAGAGGTCTCTTACCGCAGACTTTCCCATTGCAATATGTCTTTTAATTTCCTGGCTGCTGGTGCCAAGAGTGTTGATGGTGGATCTAAGCAAACCAAAACTGTGAACAATCTCAATCTCTTCACCATCCATTCTGATGCTGCCAATCGGCCTAGTAGTGAGAATTTTTGTTTTCTTGATAATGATTCTCAGTCCATACTGAAGACTGCAGTCCCTGACCTTCCACAGCAAGTGCTTCAGGTCCTCCTCAGTTTCAGCAAGCAGGGTTGTGTCATCTTCATGATGCAGATTGTTGATGATTCTTCCTCCAATCTTGACACCATATTTCTCCTCAAAGAGCCCAGCATCCCGGATAACCTGTTCTGCATAAAGACTGAAAAGGTATGGGGACAAGATACATCCCTGGCATACACCCTTCCTAATTTTGAACCATGCAGTGTTTCTAAAAGTACTTAACTTTAAAAGTTATTTTCACAGTCTCTTGGCTAAAATCTAGTATAAATTAGGCACTAAGTGTTGAATTTATAATTTTCACTTGCATTTGAGAAGCATTAACAAGTATCTCCTATGATCAGCACTAGGCCCTAGGGAAAGCATCAGGACTAAGTGCTCTGGTTTCTGGAGAGGGGGTAGCTAGCTAGTGTGCAGGGAGAAGAGCCATGTGATGCTAAGACTGCGATCAAGAAGAAAGCTATTTACTGAGGAAGTTCAGTCCTGCTCAGCTTTCTATTCGATGATGTGTTCTAAATCACTAATCAAAATACTTTTTTTTTCCTTCAAAATATTTCTTATAACTACCGAAATCCGTCTGACCAAGGATAAAATCACAAAGGGCACATTTTATAGGAAATGTTTTTACTGCCACTTACTTATTTCACTCTTTAACATAACTTCAGTATGGGATTCCTTTTTACCTACAGTACCTTGCCCACTGGCCAGAGTACTTCATCGTTGCAGAAGCACCTGGTGGCGAACTGATGGGCTATAGTAAGTATAATAAAACAATTATTTTTGGGAGAAGGTAAAGTTTTACTCTGAAGGTTTCATCCTGATTATTTTTCATTGAGGACTGAAGTATTGTACAGTCATGGAGCCTATAATATATTTTTTTTCCAATGACTCAAAAATTTATTGATGTGTAGGTTTTAGATGTTGACTGTACTGAGCCCTGAGGTACAGCAATGAACCTAACAGTTATTGCTTGGCTGATTGCTTGAAACTTTCATTCAATATTACACATAATTTTGCTAATTTTTGCTAATTTTGCTATAGGGGTTAAATTGTTACTGTGATTAACCAGAAATCCGATTGTCTGTTATATTACATAATGCTCACACACATATACATACATACATACACACTTCAAATAAATATTTTAAACATTCATACGGAGATAACAATCTGGAGCAAGAGGTGCATTGCAAAGTTAACTGTGGGAGACAGAAGGGAAGAAAATGTGAAACCAGGAATGAATAAAAATTTATTAATAAAACCACAACAAAAACCCATGCATATGCTTGTTTGGTTTTTTATGCTTATAATATTCTAGTTTACAAAAAAAAAATCTCTACTGAATCTAGAACTAGATTTAACATTACACTATAAAATAAAAGCACTAGCCATTAAATAGGTGACTTAAAAATGAAAACATTGTGTTTAATTTCTCCTGTTATAAACATGTGCCCCTGGTTTGTGTATAACTGGATGTAACTTTGGTTGGCAGTCATGGGGAAAGCAGAAGGCTCTGTGGCGAGGGAGGAATGGCACGGGCATGTCACAGCTCTGTCTGTTGCCCCAGAATTCCGACGTCTCGGGTTGGCAGCGAAGCTGATGGAGCTGCTGGAGGAGATTTCAGAAAGGTGAGGCTCTATTTTTCAAATACACATAATGTTTTATAAACCGTATCCTTTCCCTTTTTTTCTTAGTGGACTTCTTGATCTTCCGGTAGGTTAAATTTCTTGATCAGCTTTAAATTTCTGTGGGCTTTATAGGTTACAGGAATTTCGTTTATAGCTGCCTACAGTCCACAATTCTGTCAAATTATCAGAGCATTCTTTTCTCTGTTTTGCCATAGGGAAAAATTAAGACAGTGTTTGAGTGAATTGTCACGCTATATATAACTTGAGTAACTGGTAGGATTTAATAGGTGTAGTTTGTGGTTTTTTTAAAAATGTGTGTGTGTCAAACATTCCAGAGTAATTTTCTGATAACAATTTATACACATTTTATAACATTAATTAGTTTCCTCCATGAACAGCAAGCACTCTTCCTGGGTATTCCTTGGATGCCCTGTTTGGGGCAAATGTTGCCCTTTTAGGCTCATGTGGTTAATTTTTTTGAGGAGTATGTTCCTTTTTGGTGTTTGTTGTTTGCTTTATTGACTTGCTTGTTGTTTGGCTAGAGAATGTTCACTGGAGGGAGGGTCAAGGTTTTTGTTGTTTATTTATATTTTCTTTTTTCATTTTAAATTGTTCTTTTTTTTCAGTCTTGACATTATGTTCATTATTCCAAAATTCTGTTTATTTTGCCCTTGTTATTGTTGATATGTACTAGATCAAGTTGGAACTGTCTCAGCTAACCCTCTAGGGGTTTTACAGACACAGTAAATAGCCTGGGAGGAAACTGGGGTAGTTGGTTGATTAGAATTGCCCGTCGCTGGGTCAGCAGTTGAGCTCCTAAACTGTAAGCCACCCTGTGTTGTCTTGGGGGCGGGGGGGGTGTCTCATTTTTTATTTAGTTTTTTTCCTCAGTGTCCATAGGCCAAAAGAAGTATCTTAACAGTTCAGTCTTAAGCAGCTAGGTGCTTACAGCTTACCAAGTATGTATTTATGGCTTAGCCTAATAGCTGTTTGGGGAAAAAATAATTAAAAGAAAAAGTATCTTGATTTAGTTCTTAAATAACTCTGGTTGCCGCTCATAGGATCTGTGTGCACGCTGGGCAGTGAGAGCAATTTTTCAGGCCTTGGAAACAGGTCTAGCACCACTAGGTGCATTGACATTTCATATTTTTATGTGGTACTGACTTCTGAAATTAATAGCAATTGCCAGAAACTTAGTTTCATTAAGATGTTAGGTCATCAAGAGGAATGTGGTACAATCTAATGCTGAGTTTATGAATTCCTTCAAACTAGTAATTTGTCATTCTGCTTTCAATGTACATTTCCCCTAAACAATTAAAATAGCAACATTAAGGCATTGCTCTATGGTGAACACATTCATTATGTACTCTCTGGATGGGGTTAATGTGCTTGTTGTTATTGTTGTTATGTGCCATCGAGTCGAGTCGTTTGCGACTCATAGCAACCCTATGTACAACAGCCCTAA